GATCTTTCTTACGCAGGCTTACAACTACACCACTAGGGCCGCGTGAATAAAGAAGCCAGAGCTGATTTCCTGATGTGTCAATCTTTCCTGACATTTTTAAAGGAAAGGTTTATTCCAGGATGACGACTGGGAAGGACCAACCACCTAGCGTCTTTATGCAGACGCGGTTATAGCGCCGTATTGTATGACTCTTAGTTTTGTGGTGCATGGGCACCAAAAATTCAATCCCTTAATACCGCCATTTTGGAAATGTCTCTTTGCAACCCCACAAATTGAAATGTGTGCACATTTTCTTTGGAAATTATATTTTAAATGTAGATATTTCAGGCGCACACATTATGTTAAATGTCATTTTCAACACTATTCAGTCTTTATCATTAATCTACTTCATTTCTTTTAGTAATGGGACCAGCTTTCAGTAAGTGCGGCCGTTTTCCTTTTTTCATGGGAGCATTTCTGGAGCATTCCCGGCACATGTATCAGTGACACCGCTATTCGTCCAATTTTTAAGGGAAAGGTACCAGCTACAATAAATCAAAACTCAAGTATACGCACTAAACTATAAATACAAAATAGCAAACATACTCAACCCGACAGATTCATGCACTGTAAAACAAACTCTCCAACTCCAATCCCCAGTGCAATGTGGGATCCCAGTAACACTTCCAATATTACAGAAGCTACTGGAGGCTCTCCATCTAGTGATACAAGACCCGCATATACATGTAATATCCCTTATGAAAGCAATGTTCACAACTGCTTTTTATGGGTTACTCCAGATGGGAGGTATGACAATACCTGTAGACATAACCAACTATACTCTCAGGTTAGACGACCTAGAACTGAACAATCAGCAACAGAGTAGAGCAAGACAGGTCAAATCTTTCAAACATGTCTCAGGATCCTCGTCTCTTTCTACAGCCAGATATTTGTCCATCTTATTGTCTTCGTCAGTTTTTTGACATTCGGCCAACAGTTAATTATTTTTGCGGGTGGAAAATCTATGACGAGGAGGACATTATTAGACGTACTGAACAAATGCTTATTGACTGGCAATCTTCCAAAGAACAAAAAACCCATAGTTTTTTTTTTAAGGTAGAACCACTCTGGCGGCTGCTTGTGGCCCATCAGAATAACAAATCAGAGACCTTGGACGTTGAAACTCTTGAGCTTTTAAACAATATACCGGAGCTCTATCATGGATACTAGCCATCAACTGAGCAATGATACTGCATGTTCTCAGATGAAAGCAGATTACGCATTGTTAGAAGTGATGGATGCATAAGGGTTTGAAGGCAGCTTGTAATGAACCTTTTACTTACATATGGAGTGAATGTCCTAAACTTATATAATTTTGTACGCTTAATTCAAGCGTGGGCTCGAAATAGGACATTATACGTTTTAGACTAACTTAGTGGATAACGCAATCCAAAGCGTGTCAGATTTACGTAAGGTCGCGCCAAGAAAACCCAAGTCCACATAATGACCAGTTAAACAATTTATTCGTTGACGCTCGGTAGCTACATATTCTACGTGAAGTGTCCAACTCCTAACTCGTCTGCCCCGTACTCCGTCGCTTATAATCTCCTCCTTCGCTGCTTCCTCTAGCTGTCCTCTACATGTCTCCCTTCTTCCTCTCAAGGTATCGCTTATATACTTATTTCTTATCTATATGTATGGTCAATGACGCAAACTTTAACTACCTATAATTGTATAATTAATTTCTTTACCTCGGCGTTATACAAAGAGGCCGGCACATTAATTACTTGAGAACTATTGGACCACAACACGTTACATCATTAGATATCTATGTCGGACACGACAAGCTGGTAAGAAAAAACTTCCCAATTATCCGCCTCTGGTCTACAAGACCCACCCACGTACCTCTCAGTCATGGTATACGCAGCGTATTGGCTACTATGGTGTAGGTGAACTGGCAATGGTCAACGGGAACCTTAACGCAGAGCAATACATCCAAGTACTGAAAAGAAACTTGTGCAATTCTGCCGAGAATATCTTTGGGGACCATAACCACCCATTTGTGTTCCTGCATGATCATGCTTCTCCACGTAGGCCTACAGCCAATGCAACAGTACGC